ACCATCAAGCCTTAAAAATGTTGAATTGCTTAAACCAATACAATAGTTGTCTTCCCTGTTCAAACAATTGATCTACCGTAGATTTTATTTGCTGTACAAAATGGTACTGAAGTGAAGTACTTTCACTGTTAGATCAAGATCTCACTCAGAACCAGTGTTGAGAAATTAGATTTGTATTGATCCTGCAGCACAGATTTCTGATCTCTGGTTGTTGAAATACTATAGTTATAATAATATTTACATATGATATAATGTTTTTCACGTTGGGAGGACATCTTAAAGTGCTTCACAGGCCAACTTTAAAGTGTAGTGACCATTTTCTCTTAAAATTTAAAATAGCACAGAATTGCAGAATACAGTATTCTTAAATCCTGCCCTGATTTGGAATCTGGTTCATTTTTCAGAACTGTGGAAATCAGGATCCACATTAAGAGTGAATTTGAACATGTGATTTTACATTTAAAGACAGAATAGTCTTGATTCTGAAGGCTATGGGTTCAAGCCCCACTTGGAGACGTTGAACTCGCAAAGTCTATGCTGACACTCCAATGCTGTGTTGGGGGTACTCTGTATTGTGGGGCTGGTGCCATTCTTCGATGAGACTTTATCAAATTCAAGGCTTGTTATCAAAAATGCAAGGAGTTAATATAAATGATCTCTAATATTTTAACATGAACAAGAGTCCACTGCTGTACATGTTTTTCCTGGTCATCTTAATCAGGGTCACTATCTTGCCAGTGTTTACAAGACCAGGTGCTGTTTTGTTCCTGTTGGCCTGCCTCCCAATGTTAGCTTGTCAGCTCCTTACGATTTTACTCAGTGGGGAGATGACCAAGCACAGCTGGGTGGATCATTTCACTGTTGGTGGATTGAGGAGATTTTGGAAATGGGGTCAGGTAGTTGCGTCTTAGAATAATTATAGTGGTCTTGTTCCCTCTCTCTCTGCGACTTCCTCAAACCCTACCAACCGGCGAATTACAATAGACAATTGCGCACAGCATTGTTTCAGACACATTCGTGGAGATTGAGTGACCAAATTAGTATATTTTTAAAGGAATTATTACCACGAGAAAGTGATCTGCCAATTGACTGACAACCAAGTTCCTACTTACTGCTAGATAAACAGAGGTGTGTGGAGCAAGGAAACTTGCCTAAGATTTCACCTTGCCCAGGATACAAACCCAGTCCTCTCGCTTGCGAAGCGAGTGCTCTAACCAATGTGCTACAGGACTCCACAAGTGGGAGGGGAATCTGAGCTGAATGAAGATAGAAGTATTGTTGAGATCAAGCAAGCATAAGGAGCATGGAGACGTATTTTGGGTGTAAATTGGTTTTCGTATCCAGTCCATGTCATTTTTCAACATTGCAAATGGGGATTGCAATCCCGGGGCTTTTCCTGAATCCTAAGATTTCAGAATTTTAATGCCTCAAATCCCTGGATCTCGAGATGCAAAATCTTGCCTCGGAAACCCCCCCACCCCAGGTAACGCAGCTAACAGCGCTAGCACTGTGCAGTAATCTCTCTTTGAGACAGTCACTGACTCACCTGCCTCTCCACCTACCTCAGCAATACAGTGGTCTGACATCAAGGGACTCGACGAGACAGCCAGCGGGGAGGGGGTTAATGATGGTCATGATAGTGACAATATAGAGAGAGAGAAAAGGCGCAAGCAGAGAGGGATAGGTACATTCAGAGATAGATGTACACATTCACAGAAGAACTAAACGAGGGTCATTGGTACCAAATGGGGAGATGGAGAAAGAATATCAGATATAGAGAGTGAGAGAAAGCGAAACAGAGACACTAACAGAAAGCGAGAAATTAAATATCATCAATGAAACAGATGAATATGACACTAACAGTGAAACTTCTGTAAGGTTTGTGTGCGTGTGTGTGTGATGGAGGGACAAAAAAGAGAGGGAGAGATGGAAAACAGGCAGCGACAGACAGAAAGCAACTTTGCCAATGCTTTGTATATATTTTAATAAAATCCCAGGATTCTCTTTTATAAATCCCAAGATTTCGGGAGCACCATTATCCTAAGGGATTCTGGGATTGCAAACCCTAATCTCGTATAGTCTATTGATTTTAGCAACTTTTGTAAGTACATTTTGTCAGAACAGAATGTGCAATGCTGTATTTCTAATCTTGTGGTACACTTCTCAGCTCCCCCTCTCCATCTGTGCTGAGTGTGCGTATGTGTAAAGAGATATCCAGAGCTGCTGGAACATGGACCAAATAGAGTCCAACACCACAGTTTTATTAAAGGCAAAATTAAATTAGAAGGTGGAGCAGATTAATTTGATCATAAAGAATTTAATTTCTAAACATAAAGACGTTATTCATTTCTCTTCTCTCCTCCACTCCATGGAAACATTTTAAATATTGACAATTCTGGAGCTACTGGATTGTGGCCACATTTAATATTTTGGGTTTGCTATGCTGTAGCTGGAGTGTTGCAACTCTGCATTTTGACAGGTTTCTAATACCTGTTGTTGTTATGGTTCACCTTGAAGATGTTGGTAGACTGGCTGTATCGGTTTCATTGAAGGTGCATTATCCTAATTCTGTTTGCATCGAATGACTTAGATGTGCAAGGAGATGTGTGTGTGTGTATTCTGTCAAAGTGGAGTCCTGTAGCTCAGTGGTTAGAGCACTCGCTTTGCAAGCGAGAGACCTGAGTTCAATTCCAGGCACAGGGCGAAACCTTGGGCAAGTTTCCTTACTCCACACGCCTAATAATAGGCTGCCGCGTTGGCTCCACAAATATACAGTCCATTCACTTTACAGTGTTCTGTGAAGTGCTTTGGGACGTCCTCCCGACGTGAAAAGCGCTATATCAAATGCAAGGATTATTATTATTATTATTATTATAATTAAACTGCCCGCAAGAGTAATCAATAATTGTAGCACAGGAAAAAATGCAGTACCCAAAGCCATTTGGGTTAGTTTGCTTCGTGTGAGGTGATTTCTTCCATGCAAAAATGCTTAAAGCAAAAAAAAAGTTTGTATTGTCAAGCTCTTGCTTATTGTGTTTCTTAGGGCTATTTAAACATCAGCTACTGATTCTAACAATTCTAAAATAAGTACTGAAAAGATCCACTTACTTTCTGACATCCTAATGAGCGGAATGCTGAGAGTGCTGTAGGAGGGTGAGTTGCTGTTCTTGTTGCTCTACTTATAAAAGGGCATTATTCCAGTGTGGAGATGAGCAATTACCGTATATTAATGGCTTCAGATTGCCTTGGTTATTACCATCAGCAACATCTATGTCTCTGCTGTTAGACTTCATTGAGATTTTCAATCGTCTATGTGCAGAAGTACAATAAATACTTCAAAAATGGCTTTGGGTACTGCATTTTTTCCTGTGCTACAATTATTGATTACTCTTGCGGGCAGTTTAATTATTGTCAGTTGCTTGGCTTGCCCTAGGAAAGAGAGTTATGGGAGAAGTGAGCAGAAATCTGATTGTATGTTAAGTGCAGTGGGTTCAGCCCTCTGAATGTAGAGCAGGGAATTTGTACAAACAATCCCTCCTTGTTTCCTGTTTACAGAAGTGTATGTACCTCACCTCAGCCTCTCAGTAAATTGACTGTAGCTTGTAATAAGCTTTCTAATATTTCCTAATCATTCTTCTGTGCCAATGTTGTCTCATGTTTTCAGCTTCTGCCTTTAATTGCCCTTTAAGGTACAAAACATTTAATTGTATTAATTAGATACACTTAGGAATCACAAAATGTATGATACGATGAAGGTTTTCTGTACAAGAACAGATTTTCTCCCCCAGATATTTGATGTATTTTAATTTAATTGCTCACATGGATTATTATACTCGCTTGCAAATTTATGCACAGTCCATTTGTCCATGTTGTATTAATCAACTGCAGCTTTCTTTTTTACATTCAGTGTTTTTACTTTTATAAAATCCATATTTGAATTGAATCCTTCAACACTCCCATCCTAGTTCTGTTTGAAAATACTATAACATGATTTCCATGCCTCTTTCTTGTCCAAGCCTCATATTGGGTGTCAAGATTATAGTCCAAGCTGACACGACATTGTCAGAGATGCTGTCTTTTGGATGAGATGTGAAATAATAATCCTTGCATTTATATAGTGCCTTATCACGTCTTTGAGACGTCTCAAAGCGCTTCACAGCATATACTGCAAAGTGAATTCACTGTATATTTTGTGGGCGAAATGCAAAGGCCAATTGCGCACAGCAGTGTCCACAAATCAATTAAATCAATGAAGTCCCATTTGCTTGCTTTCAGGTCATTGTTAGAGGTCCTGTGTCACTATTCAAAAAGACAAAGGAGTTTCTCCTAGTGTCCTGGCCAACAACACCCCAAATAAACTTGGTCTTTCAATTCATGGCTGCTTGTGGGACATTGCTGCGTGCAAATTGGCTGCCATGTTTGCTCAAAAAATAGTTACTCTATTTTACAGTAAATCCTGCAAAGTGCTTTGGGTCATTTTCCTGACGTGAATGGCGCTTTGTTGAGTGTAAGGATTATTATTATTACATTGGTCACTCACCTCATGTGACTTTAGTAGCACAAAATGACTGCTGTATTTCCCACAGAAGTCATTACATTTGACAGTAATTACCTGTGAAATGCCTTGAAACATTTCAATGTGATAAGAACCTATAAAAATGCAATGTCTTACTTTACACTTTATGAATTGTCCCCTTATTGCAGCATTCATTCTGAGCTTGCAAACCAGGTACTTTGTGTTGCCTGCCTCTTTGTACACATCAGTTTCTCGTCTATTTTTCGCTGTTGTAAACATGTCTACTCAGTATCAGAAAGGATTGAATGGATTCTGAAGTTATCATACAAATTGCTGTAATGAGAGGAATGTTGCATTCATTGAGGTGCTGGCCCTGAGGAATGAAATATCTGCTCTTTCTTGGGTGCTGGTATCAGTACTAATTGCTCTCTGTTATTGGTATTTTGCTTCTCCAATCTTCTTATCCTTTTTTTTCCTTCTACAGGGGAATTGTGTGAGCCCAACCCATGTGAGAATGATGGCATCTGTATGACGGGGTTGGCAGATGAGCCTTTTTCATGTGAGTGTCCCGATGGCTTCACAGGTCCCAACTGTTCTAGTATTGTGGAGGTTGGTAAGTTCAAGCACAGACCACAGCAACACCTCTCTTCTGCATGTCTATCTCTCTGAAAACCTAGCAATTACGGAATGTTTGCCTTCATGAATCTGTGGCTGGCGGATAATGTCTAACCAGTGTTACTTGTGCACTTGCTATACTTTTGTTACCTTACCCTGTGTCGTCAGTTTTTCTTGATGTTTGTGTTTACTGGTGGTCCCAAGGCAATGGCCGTACACTGACCCAATGCACAGAATAATAACTGTGTGGAATGAAAAGTTTGAAAATAAATGTAGAATGCTGGAGGTTTGTAGTACATCAATCAGGATTAACATAGGTTAGCGTTCCAGACATGGGCCTTGATCAGAACTGAAGTGGAGGAGGGGGCAGCTCCTGTGTAGAATCCTGTATGTAACAACATATACAGGATTGAAACTCCTAAGAAACCACATTCAGGAGATTTGAAACTCCTGTTTAATCATGTGGATCAAAATTCCATTCAGTTTAATACACATCAACTGACATCGGCCAGGAAAGGGATTTCCCAATATAGTTGCTTAGCTAAATGCCAAATGTATTTTTGATCCCATGAGTTTTAATAAAAAGAGGCGGGGAGAAACCTAGCTAAGAGGTAAGAACCTGGAGGAATCAGGCAGATGACCCAAGGGAATACCAGCATTTCTGTGTTTATTTCAGATTTCAAGCATTCACTATTTGTTATTTATTTCAATTTGAGTCCTACATTTAATTGACAGGTTTCCCTGTGTAATGTGTTTCAAGGATAAATTGCACTACATGTGGTGATATCATCCTGCTAAAATAATTGTTGGTATTTTAATATCCTCCAATTAATGACCAGCCAGCAACATGGACCAGGGGAGACTAGACAACACTATAGACTAAGGAGAGACTAAACAAGACCACAGATCATGATAGACTACAAAGATTTGCAAAGAATGTATACCATGGCAACAGTTCATTCATCTTAACAGTGCCAGTGTTTATACTCCACGAGTCTCCACCCTTCTACTCTGCTTCATGTGAACTTCTAGTTTCCTCTTTAATGATCTGTACTACCACCACTTCAGGCAGTGGGTTCCACAATATTAAATCTTACTCTTTGCTTTTGGTTTCCTAACCATTCTTCGATCCATTCTGCTATATCTCCCACAATTCCATATGACTTGATTTTAGTCATGAGACAACACCATGGACAGAGAGAGATTAAACAACAACATGGACCAGGGATACGAGACAGTACCACAGACCAGGGAGAGACTAGATGCACATAGATCAGCAAGCTATTAAATGGATTCAATAGTCCACGCAGTTTTAGTGAAAAAACACATTAAACTGAACTATTGTAACAAAGCACCTACAATCTCTGGATAAAGACAATGCTCCAATGGCTAAAGTAAGCCTCTTTTGATATTTCCTGTCTTGCCTGTGCAACTTAATGCTTAAACAGTCTCCGACCATATATTGATCATTCTCCCAAACCTGGGAATTGAACAGCATTTTGAATACTTTAATCTAAAGGAGTAGAATTTGCATTATATTTTGAAAGTTTATCAAAATTCCCAATATTTAGGGTAATTCTTAGTGTTCCTTAGCGAAAATCAGGATTATTGCAATTTCTCCTCCCTAGAAAGTTAAAACGGCCATGATTTTTATCAGCACACAAAACAAACTAGTGGCTGCTTTAACATTATGGAAACTAAGAGAGAAGTTAATGTTTGAAATCCGTCATGATTTCTGTTTCCCAGTGGTATCGTTTTACCTTGTGAACATTGTAAAATATTTATTTTCACAAGCATCAGAGGTTACGAATACATCCTATTCCCAGATCTTTTACAGTTTTGCTCCATAACAGTTCTGGAAGTTGCACAAGAGTAACTTGGTTCTCACTTTTGTTCCTCTTAAAAAGAAACCTATAAAATAAAATTAAAATGCCATTAATCTAACACATTAAATTGAAGTAGAGATTACATAATGGGATCATACAACCTGTGTGCCTAGTCTATGTGAACGCCAGTATTTTGTTTTATTGTGGCCTCCAATAGCAATGCCGTTTCTTTTCTTCCTCCCATCCTATGTCATTTGTGCATTATAGTTACTTTCTTTGTGGAAATAAATTCTGTGACACGAAGCTCTAAAATATCTTCTTTCCATGCAAATGCAGAACTTTCAGTAATTTGGTTTGGATATTCTTAAGATTGGTGTTGGGTTTCTGTGTGTGCCAGATACCCGACTGACCAAAATTTGTTTTTGTACTTATGACACAATGAAATAATAACTAGAATGTTCAGTAGTTTCCAATGTACAGTATATTCTGCCCACCAATGTTTTTCATAAACTAGTTATTTTTCATTTATTATACAAAAGCATCGAAGCACCACCACCTTAAATGGGATGCAAGGGGCACACTGAGTTCTGAGATCAGAATCTTATAAAGTTAGCAGCTAATAGCCACGAATATACAGAAACAATGTGAGTTTATTGAAGCAATAAAAGATATTACAGTAATACAATAATACATATAATAAAGCAATACTGTTTTACGGAGAAAGGTATGCAAGGTTGTGAAAAGACTGCAGAGCTCAAAGTCGAAAGCAGATCACCCACGTTGAGAATGTTTTGTTAAGAAGCCAAAAAGAGAGAAGATCCCAATGTATTCAATGTACACAGAAGAAAGGTGGGAATGTGATTTCAAGCAGGTTAGGAAGCCTGAGGCAAGATCCAAATATTACAAGTCAGTCAGCAGAGAGATTTGACTGAGCAAGACCAAACAGCACTTGTTTAAAGTGTAACAAGGGGTGCCAGGAACACCTTTGCCAACATGGTGGAGAGCCCACAAGTTTCATGGAAAGGATCTATGCCTAGAAGCCCTGCCCATCTGTATTAGCAAGTCCCGTTATGCATTTTTCAGAGCTCCTCTAAAACAAAATGCTGGAATATTTTACCAAGTGTCATGGGAAGTGTTTAAATACATTATTTTATCTTATTTTGATTGTCTTTGTGTTATTTTAATCATTTGCAGAATTAATTGCTGATGATGAGCTTATGTATCAGTTGTATTAATTTGGACAGATATTTTATATATTACCATTTACACAGTATCATCAGGGTATCTGGAAATCATTTAAGTTGATTTTTAAGAGATATCTAACTAGTTTGGGGACTGGTAATTTCTCAAAATCAACAATGAAAGACTGTTTAGAAAATTAAGTTTGCCCATTATCCTGTGAACTAAGAGGAAAGTCACCAAATCAACAGATTTGAGAGGGGGAAAATTACTTAGTGCCTTAGGTGAGAACCACATGACTTTCCCATATATGATTCATCCAGTCTGTGGCTATCTTCTTAGGGAGGAAAGTTGTGTTCTTCACGCTCCCTATTCATGTCTTCAGTTGTGTAAATATAATATGAACCCACACATGCAAGAGGAGATTTTTCTTGGAATGAAATGGAGTAGTTTTTCTCATCGGATTTGATACAATCTTGTCCTGCTTATTTCCTGAGATCTTTGCCAAGAATTAAAGTCCCCTTTGACTGTCTGAAACTTAACTGAAGCTGCATACATCATCATTCAAATGTTCCCAACTGTTCCAGGAACATTAGAGGTTTCAATATTTTGAGCAGCTGAGACAGCATCTGGTCATGTGATTAATTACGTCAAATTGAAATGAAAACTCTATCTCCCATATTCTTAGTGAGAGAATCTGATGAGAAGCAAAACGTAGGTCATTGAACCCACTCATCTTTGTTGAGCATTAGCAGATTCACATCTGCCAGGAAGAAGACATTCTACATAGTTTAGGTGATATTGAGGCAAGAAGTTGGGCCATAAACTGAAGATTTATGTACTTCATGGTGAGACAGTGCTGTGATGAGTTGGTCGCACAGATTCCTGAGATTGGGTAATAGAGCTTCCTGTATCGTTTATTATTTGGTAGATTGATTTCTTGGTTAAGCCAACCAGCATTTTTGCAGAGTATTTTCATGGGGAAACAAAGGACCGACTTATTCCCTGCTCATCAATCCAACAGAACTTTGATTTCAAAATCTAGGCATCCACTAGACTTCATCTTATCACTGTTATTTTCCCTGAGATCACTGACAAGCTGACCACTGTTTGTTCCAGTTTTGAAAATGATTAAATAAGCTGGGCTGATCTAGTCATCTAGACATAATGGTAATTTACCTGCAAAACTATCTAATGGTGGTAAACCTTTTGCTTGCCTTTAGAAGAAGTGATGGGATAAACAATCACAAGTGTCCAAATTTCTGAAGCCTGGAAGAAACATCATCTCTAATAGGAATATGGAAACCCAGGAAAACAGGAGCCCATATAGTCATCAGGCCTGTTTCATCAGTTTATTAGATCTTGATATATCCTTTAAACATAACACCTCTTTATATCTCTATCTGTCTAACGCTATTAAACATCCAACTACGCTTCAAACCTTCATTTCAGTTCAGACCTTCATGATTTGCTGAATAAAGGTTTCTACCCTCTCTTTGAATCTATTTATTCAAGTGATTTCAAAACTTAATCCTTAAAAAATGATCATTGTCACTGATCACAACCCATTGATGTTGTGGATGAGTTCTCAATATTTCTTGGCTCACATTCAAGCTCTGTGTGATGATTTGAATTGAATGTATCCAATCAAGGCTTTGCTCCCCACAATGAAATGCTGATTCTTCCGTGTTTATCTCAAGAGCCTTTACTATGTTACTATGAAGGTCAATTAATCTATAAGAAAATCCTCTGTTGGTGTGTCAGGTAAATTTGTCCCAAAACAAAGTATAGCTTTGGTGGATGCTTAATAGAGAGATAGGCAGATATTTGGGTCATAGAGATATTAGATGGTATGGTGAAATGATAGAACATTGGGATTAAAAGATCTGCCAAGATCTCAAAAATAAACTGGTGAAACAGGCTCAATGGCTGAATGGTCTCCTACAGTTTCTGTTTTCTATGGAATTCCATTATGTTCATGTGGATGTGAAATTCTTTGCTTTCCTTCTTCAACCCCAGAAAGGTTGCATGACATTCTGATTCAGATAATGGAAACTGTGAAACTTTCCGATATGAAACACATTGTTAAATTTCATGGTCTAGTCTAGTTTGTTCTGATATTCTAATTTAATTAGTTGTACCATAATTGTTGACCTAGAATATAACCAAGGTCCATGTATAGATAGGACCTCCCCTACAATTGAGGCACCTGCCATTGAGTTTTGGCTTGAAGAGTTAGTCTCACAGGGTTGATGACATGACTACATTTCCCAGTCTTAATGATGAGCCAGGGTGGCTGGCCAAGCATCAACAATGGTTTAAACTAGTGCAGAGCTATTTGAATTTGTTAGGCAAGTTTCCTCTAAATTAATTAACCCAAGGGAAAACTTGCTTGCTAAACTTGCTTGTTTCTTTTTATTCTCATTATATTTTTAAAAAATAATTGACTACTTGCATTTATATGTTAAAATAAACATCTCAAAGAGCTTTACTAAATATAGATGATTAGAAATGTGAATCTTTTTATCCCGTGGAGAACCTATTATTTGCACTGATTGGGATTGCCCCATTGCAGATAGGCACACAAAATATAAATTACAGCACTGCTTAAGATGTTGTTCTATCGAGAGTTCTACTATCACTATAGTGCCACACCATGACTCCACTCTCTTCTCTGTAATTCTGCCTTTTTCTCTACATTTCTTTCTTTCTCATTCTGATCATAATCATAACATAATTTACCAAAGCACTGCATTGAGCAACACTTAGCTTGTAAGATTGCACTTTACAGGAGGTGAAGTTGCTTTTGAAATTGAAGTTCCTGTTTTGAAAAGTTTTTTTTATGTGATTGCTAAGAAATTCTGCTAAAAAAAAATCCTTAATAACTCTCTGCACATTTTGTGCAACTTCACACAGAACATGATTTTTTTTGACAGTTCCCACTTGGAGCACCATGTGGATAAATGAACTTGCAGATAATTTTCATGTGGATAAGTGATGTTACTGTAGAGACAAACAGGGCAGATCATCTGTGCTAGCAACCCACCAAAAACAGTAATGAGATGGAGTCAATTCTTGATTTGGGGTCAATTTGGATTTGGATCAGGGAAAGAATATAGACAGGATAATGAGGGGAAGACTCCATGTTTCTTTGACGTTGACATGTCAGAAATGTACCTGAATCACAAGCAGACTGAATTGAAAAACAAGGTAACCAGAGAACGGGATGAGCACTCGGAGATAAAGCATAACATTGTAAACAATATAGAATGTTATGTACATAAACTTGGCAACTACAATGGCTCTCAACATCACACAACCAACAAGTGAAATTAAAATGGAAGAGGAAAATGTAAAGAAAAGGAAAAAAGAGGGATAAATTAGTAAAGATAGGGAAAATATAAAATGGAAGACAGAGAGCTGGTTGCTACAGAGATGCAGCATATAGTCACAAAATGGATATTTTGGCTCAGTAATAGCACGCTCGAGTCAGAAAGTTGTGGTTTTGAACCACACACCAGGAATTGAAGCAATCTATCTTGGCACTACAATGCAGAACTGAGGCAGTGCTGTATTACTGGAGGTAACATTCATGGGGTGATAAGTTAAACTGGGACCTCTCCTGTTTATTCTTCTGGTTAACTCACCTAATCTCAATCAATGTTGACATGACTGTCATTTCAAAGTCTGGATTTAATTGTGCAGTTTGTTCTGCATTTCATTAACAATTTGTAAAAACTGGATCATGCTGCAACAAAGGCTATCCATTCTGATGATTTTAGTTCAGTGGAAAATACCTGAGGCTCGTTGCAGCATCTTACTGAATTAAACTGAATTTTTATTTTTATTAGCATGTCTGCTAGACTTAAACATGGTCAGAATATATTCATCTGTCATCATGTCAATCGCTGCTCTAGAATTGTGGTTAATGTTTAGCAAATGGTTTGTTCTGTTACCATCTTGCTTGTTCTCTGTTGCTTTGTTACCTAGAGAGGTCTGGAGAGTTACAAAAAAGACATGTGGTTCAGTTTGAATGCCCTAAAGAGCCATTTGTTTCCTCCTCTCTTTCCATCCCCACTAGTATGTAGAGAATAAAGTTGACAAGAAACCTAAAAATGTATGAAGCCCATCTCTCATCAATCCAATCATTATAATCCTGAAGTAATTCAAAAAGCTGGAATTGCTTTATGTAAAAATGTATGTATGCAGCTTAAAATCAAATGAATTTAACTGTGCGAGTTTGTTTATCTATATATATTATATATTTGCATAAATAATCAGGAAAAAGAATTGTAATGGAAATTTAGACTGTTTTTGTTTGAATTTATTTAATAAAGAAAACAGTTATTCATGGAGGAAAAGTGTTCAAATACCATAAAGGGAGATACAAAAAGATTACTGTGTGCCTCAGTGAACCAACCAAGCTTCTAGTCTCTTTCAAACAATAAAAATGGATAACAAGAGTATGTTGTCTCTTATAGTGGTCATTATAATGTGCGAAAGCTGAAAGTAATATGAACATGTATTCAGAAATGTATGGATTTTTATGTTTATGGCTTGCGAAACATTCTTTAAGTAATTGGAAATGGACTTGCAGCTATCAGTGCACACACATGCACTCTCTCGATGGTAAATATGAAATCACAGTTTTCTCCAAACGAGTGAAAGATCATAGCCTGTGCACCCTGGGGCTTTTGAATTGTCTCTGGAGCCATAGAAAGTTTGGAAATTTGCTTGTAGCACTGCTGCTTCTCAAATCATTAGAAATGAGTGAAGCGAGTTTAAAGATGTAAAATTCAACTTCATGTTATGATAATTTCATCTCAATAACTAAAAACAAACTTACTTGAAACCCAACATTTATAAGACTGCAATTCCTGTCACTTAGGTACTATTATTGAATAGCAGAGACACCATCCTGTGCTCTAAATAGTGGCAACCTTAGTGAATTTACTCTGAGAATATCAATGACTTAATTGGTTGAAAAGTTTAAACTAACATTGTACTTGTACTATGGAGGAAACTGAACATTACTGATTTGACAATTAAGATAACTGGGATTACAATATGTATTATGTTTACTTAAAACCACTTCACATTGGAGGCACCCAAAGATAATTGAGTGTTGCAGCCTCTCTGTGCATGAATACAGTACTAAAATTGACAGCTCTACAGTGTATTGATGTGTTTTCTAAACGTTTTAATGGCTCTCTATTTAATACCAGCAGCAGCGGATGGAGAAGAGTTCACTTCAGCAGGTGGGGTATTGCTGTCTGCTGAATGCACAGTGGTCCATCTCATTTCAGTATGCATGCTACTTGCTCCTAGTTCATCATGCATGAACCGTTCTGCTCAAGTGTTCATTAATTCATTGTTGATTGTTGCTAGTCAAGGCAGTCCAACTGATGAAGCAAGATATCCTCTCTAGGTATTAATGACAAGTGGTGCCAAGCCAGTTCTGAGCTGTCCAGTATACAGTAATGTATTTTGGAAGATGTAAGCTATTGCCCATTCACAAGCACAACAGATGAACCAGTTTTTTTTGAGGGGTGGGGGAACTAGCAATGCAAGTACTGTTAGATAAGCAAAACTCAGGACAAATGTTCAAAAGTTTTGCTTGAATTGTCATTCATTCAGGAATTGTTAAAGTAGTCACGTGTGTCTGCATGCTGCACGTGTTACTGTGGATGTGCATGTAACTGTATTTTGTTCTGATCTTGCCTCTTTCAAAAAAATAACTATTTTAAATATTCTGGTATGTGTCCACGTTGCTATGGTTACAATTTTGCACTGATTTGAAATCTGTTCAGGTTGATGAGATTGATGGTGAACCCTTTGGTAGAATCCAGCCCCAGAGGCAAGTTGCAGAGCACAATGGAGTCAGTCAGTTTCAGCTCTTCCCTCTTCCGTTTGTTGGCTTACCCCATATCCTTTGAGCCTTTGGTGTATTACACGGGTCTTTTGTGCAGGAAACTCTAGGAAATAGGCCCAACAATTCGTATATATGTTAGAAATCAAGTCCATGACTGCAGTGGCCTGATTTAACACAAAGCTGTACAGAACCGGATCACTTACCTGTGCCAAATTAGCTGATCTAAGCCGTAGGAACCGTAGGAGTACTGTAGGTGGGAGAAACAATCATAGATTCCAATTTGATCTATGTCTGGTGAACCCTATTGGAAAGTACATGAGTGTGGACATTGGGTCCTACTAGATCTGGGTTCAGCTGTGATGCGTTCCATACTACTATTCACTGGGCAGGTTCACAGATGAATAATGACCTCTTGGACATTGTGGGGAAGCTGACAGTGTGTATAGATCTGTTCTCAGCTAAGAGTGAGTGCACTCAGAACTGTGGGAAGAAAGCAAAAGTGCAAAAATATGTTTAGTGTGTTTGTTTGTGGAGTGTGTTTGTTTGTGGAGTGGTTAGAGCACTCACCTTGCAAGCGAGACACCTGGGTTCAATTCCAGGCAGAGCGAAACCTTGGGCAAGTTTCCTTACTCCACACGCTTAATAATAATCCCCCCAAAACAAAATAATAAAAAATTGGTTATTTTCAATCCACGACTGTTTATGGGACACTGCTGTGCACAATTGGCTGCTATGTTTCGCCTACAAATTTATAGTCAATTCACTTTACAGCATATTCTGTGAAGCGCTTTGAGACGTCTAGAAGATGTGAAATGTGCTATATCAAATGCAAGGATTATTATTATTATTATTATTGTTGTTCATGGAAAAAGTTTGAGAATTAGCAGCAAGCTTTTAACAGAACATTGAGATAATAGAGAAAAGCCTCTTTTCACTGATGCCTGCAAACTATTTAACATTCAGTGCAAATAAATTCAAATATATATTTTGTTTGCCCACAGTATTCAAGAGAAGATGGTTAATAGGGCTCTATTAGAGAACATTAAGTAACTAATATTGTGACTCATGAAATGATATGCTGGGGGATTTGATGTGATAGTCCGATGTAACAAATTAAATACTGTTTGATGGTATATCATTCATTCGAAAACATTTTCACTACACTTATACAATACAAAATTATATTTGTAAAGCACCTTTCACGTCTGGAGGATGTCCCGAGGTCCTGAACAGTCAGGGATTAGGACCCAACAACAACAAAATTACATTTATAAAGTGACTTTCATGTCGAGGAGGCAGGGTGGGGGGGGGGGGGGACAGGGAGGGTGGAAGGCAATGAGGGTAAGAGGGTGGCCAAAGGCACAGTCGAAGAGGAGGGTCTTAAGTTGTGCCTTGAAGGAGGCAAAATTGAGGCAAAGGGAATGTGGGATGGAATTCCAAAAGGATGGGGGTACATGGAGCAAGCCGGAGCCTGCTGAGTGGAGGGAGTGGACAGTTTGATAAGGTCGTAGAGGTAGGAGGGGCAAGGTGAGGGCGAGAATTTTGAACTCGATCCTCTGAGGGATGGGGAACCAGTGGTGTCGGATGAGGACACGGGCTGCAGAGTTCTGGATGATCTGCAGTTTGTGGAGGGAAGAGTTGGGAAGGCTGACAAGCAGGGCATTGGCATAGTTGAGCCTAGTTGTAATGAAGGCATGTATGAGGGTTTCGGCAGCCTGAGGGGTGAGGCAGTGGCGGAGTCGGGCAATGTTGCCGAGGTAGGGAAGGCAAAGCAGGTCATGACACCATGTGGGGTAGAAAGGACAGTTGAGGGTCAAACAAGACGCCTGGGTTCCTGACTGGCTTGGTGAGGTGGAGTGTACATCCATTGATGTTACCAGTGCCTGAGGTGTGGAGGGGCTGATACGAGCCAATCAGGAGAGCGTCGGTCTTGCTGACGTTCAACTGTAGAAAGTTAGCTCTCATCCAGGACTTGATGTCTGACAGGCTGTCTGTCCCATGATTGTGGATGATGTAACCAAGAGGAAGCATGTACAGGTTGAAGAGGAGAGGACCGAGGACAGAGCCCTGAGCAACACCGCATGAGACGGTGCGGTGACTGGTGAAGAAGCCCTTTGTGGAGACAAAATGGAGCTGGTGTGAGAGATAGGATCTGAACTATTCAAGGACAGAACCTTGAAGGTTCAGTTGAGAGTAGAGGCGGTGGAGTAGGATAGAGTGGTCCACAGTGTGAAAGGTTGAGGAGGACAAGGAGACAGAGGGAGTCCTGCTCACAGATGGACAGAATGTGATTTGTCACCTTGACCAGGGTTGTTTCCATGCTGTGGAGGAGTTCATAAAGGAAGTAGCAGGAGAGGAAGGAGTGAAGCTGGAGAGCAACAACTCTTTCAAGGACCTTGGAAAGGAAAGGGAGGTTGGAGATGGGATGGTAGTTAGTGAGCAGGGATGGGTCCAGGGAAGATTTTTTTTAGGATAGGGGTGATAGCTGTTTTTAGGGAGGTGGGAACGGTGCCAGTATTATTAATATAATAATAATATAATCATTATTATAATAATAATCCTTGCATTTGGTATAGTGCCTTATCACGTCGTTGAGATCTCTCAAAGTGCTTCAAAGAAAATACTGTAAGGTGAATTGACTGTATTTTGTGGGCAAAACAATACATTTTGATTACCTCCTCACAACCAGTCTCTCCACTTCCCTTTTGGCCATCACCTCCCCACTCCCTCTCCCTCCCCCCTGCCTCTCCTGTCTTTATCTCTGTTCAGGCTTCCGCTCAGTCTTTGCATTAAAGTGCTTTGAGACATTCACTCTGAAGGCTTTCGGTTTCCATTGTGCGTTGGAGGCTTGACATGTTTCGGATGCTATTGGGAAAGTAACAATTAAAGTCATGATAAATTCAATTTAATATGGCTATGCCGAGCTTTCCTAAAGTTAAGTGGCCTGCACATATGCCACGCAAAAGACATTAATAAGAATTGTCATGCGCGGACTGAATAATGGAGCAAAAGCAGTACAAAGGTAATCACAATGGAATTTTATTCGGTTGTGACTGACAACAATCATGGAAACGAGACAGAGGATGACTTTGAAGTTGGAGAAAATCTTGCTTATTTCAGGAAAACAATATTTAGGAAAACTAAGTGATCTGCCTTATATTGCCTGCAGATATCCAAGAGGGTTTATAATAATTCTTCTGTTGGAAAGCTAATAAATGTCATTTTATGTCAGCTGATATGTTAAATTGAGAAATTAATGGGGGATATCTATTATAAAACAGTTTCCAAATTAAGACTGAATTATAGTAATATATAAATACTAATATAAAAAATAAATATATTATTATTATTATATTATTATTATAACTGAATTTTTTTCCACAGTTCTGCATGATTTTAGTATTTAATGTAATGGTCGAAAGAATAAGACCATGAAGGATTCTGGGTCTCTATTAGTCTAGTTGTGTACTTAAAAGTGGGAGTAATTGTATTGGCAATTTTAGATAAACAATACAAAGTGGATAGTGAATGCTAATTCACAAAAATTCGATCTTCATTTACATAGCTGTAATTGGGACACTTCAGAAGTGTAATCCTATTACCCTCTTCAAATAAATGCTTTCTGCAAGATACAACAACAGAATACAGTATTCTACTTAGCTACCAAGATGCAAAATACACTAAATACTCTATAATAGTGAATAATGGTTTGTTGTACTGTATTTGTAACTTGATTAAAAAGAAGTAAATTTGTTTTAATGGGTTTCTCTCTCAGACCTACAATAACCAGAACAACACAAATCGGCAAAATTCAAAAATCATTTTCATTTAAAACGAATGGTGAACTGTTACATTTGTCAATAAAGCCTTGTGTAGAGAAAATGCATATTCATAGAAAATTGATTTCTGAATTTGGAAATGATTAATTTGTTAACAATTTTATAAATATTATTTTTAATAGCAAGAAACAAAAACTTGGATTTAAAATAATTTTTCATCTGCTGTTCATTTCCTCACTCCCTTCATCTCGTCAATAGCAGCCAAGCCTAACTGAGTTAGTGCCGTTTGGATCTCTCTTCCAAAACTTCTGAAAGGCTTTCTCACTTCATGCCTTCAAAACTCTCATAAAAACTAGGCTTCCTAACAACTGTGCTTTTGATCAAAATTCTTCATGCACCATGCTGAGTACCCTCTATTGTAATTCTTGAGCATTTGAGGCTTTCATTCTAAGTGAAAAGCAATTTACAACTGTAAATCATTGTTAAGAAGAATATAAAGATGCATGCCATAGTGAAATGCCATCACATTAAACCAGTAAATGCAGTCATTAACTGTAGTAGACAAAACCTTATTAGGCCTCAAATTTGACCAACTCTTCGACTTTGA